TCCCAACAAAATTTTGTACAAGTAAAATGCATCACTCTGTAGCTCAAGAGCGGAGCGTACAACACATAGGGTGAAAAGAGGAGCTGCAGCAATGTGCAGTATGAGAAAAATATGGTGTTTTTCGAAAATGAAACCATGTAAACCTGTTCTGGTACAACCCCTAATTAAGATTTTGAACCTGAAAATGAGCATTACACCACCTCTTTAATAACATTTGATAATAATATCTGATGTCACTTTAGCATCACCGACAACTGAATTAACTTTCACCTTGTTATTGTGTGTACATCTGGACATTTCCCTTACATTTCCATACAATTTCCCTCCCTGCAAACCACTTTATGATCTAGGAGGATGTCCTGTTTGCATGCATGTCCCTCTATTTTGATAGCATGACATTTTAAAGCCACCTAATGGGAGCTTTTGTGGAAAAAAGTGTGTCGTCTCCTGTGTGTCAATCTCTTGCATGTCCCCTGCTTGCTTTGCAGAAGAAAGACCTGAAATTCACTTTTGTTGCTGTCTCCCTGTAAGTCTCTTTAGGTCAGCAGGATGACATGACAACGTATGTGTACACTGAAAAAACAAACTTTGTGGTATAGTAAAATATATTAAAGTCTTAATTTCTACATTATAAAATTAAGTTTCAATGAGATCTACAATTTCTTAAGTAAATATTTAAATCTTTACACATTTTATTCATGTAATACACTAACTGTGTGGAAGGAGTAGGTTTTACTATAGATGCACATACTATTTAAAAGTTTAATAGTCGCTGAATAATAAATAGCTAAAAATACTAAGTAAATTGTAATCCAAGTGGGTGTTTACATTTGAATCCACACATGCGCTTATGGACAAGACAAGATACCTGCCATTTTAGTGGTAATAGACCAAAGCAGGGCAACTGAATCTGTTTCTGTTTGAGACAGAGGTGCTGCATGACAGGGCTTTACTTTGTGATATCATTGCCACTGTCTCAAGAGCTGCCTGGCTTAGAAAACCCCTGCCACGTTATTGTTATAACGTTACCAGGGCTAGAAAAAAAAAGCCCACATGTAACTATGCTTAAAAGCTCGTTTGTTTATTTAATTTCTATACTGTAAAGGTATAGAGTTGCCAAAGAGTGGGTAAGTTGAAAGAAGAACAGAAGTGGAGATGTGTTTAACGTACATACTGACTAACCTGAAATTATTACAATTTCACTAAAGAAGTTATTAAAGTAACATTACCAAATTAACTTAATACATGCTGCTAGGCTGGTGTGTAACATTATACACTAAAGGACTGCATTGTATTTTAGCGCAGCTGACTACTTTATTTAGCCTGTAAACACGTCTAAAGTTGTAAATAATAGTGTGGTGTTTTAAATAAAATATTTTTGTGAGTTTCCAGCCCTTGTTTTGACATATTTAATGTTATATGTATATTACGTTACCAATCACTCTTGTCTGAAAAATGCCTGTTTAAATAAACGTGTAAAATATTCTGATTTATGCCCTCAACTTTGCATACCCCCCAAACACTGCGCTACACCTTTAAGGTGCTGCAGAAACTTTCCCTAGAATGGGATGGGATTAAGCTTTCCCCAACTCACTTCTCCATCTTGCAAATAATTGCATCAACTTAAAAAGACACTGTCACCTGCATTGGACCCTCCGCCACTGTCAACACACAGACTTGCAGAATCCATCTTCAGCTTCGACTCTCTAAAAGACTGTTAAATGTGGTCCGATGGGACCAGGACTTGTAGACTATGCTGTATATAAATATTTTTCAGATGGGTAAATGCAGTGGATAAACATGTTTAATGCATTACGCTTTTAATGTCACACACGGTGTTTTTTGCAGTACAAAGACATGCACCAGCAAAGGTAATAAAATGTAGGAATATATTAAGAACTTCTTAATGATATGTTTTACACAAATACATATTTTGATGGTGTTATAAATAAAATCAAAATTAGTGCTGGGCAACGATTAAAAATTTTGTGATGAATCTCAAAATTGAATAATGAATTGAAGTTGACATTTTGGTTACTGTATGGGGTAACCAACAACACGTTGTATAGCATGTAATGCTGTGACATGCACAAAAAAAGATATATAACTCCATAAAAGAGAGGGGAAAAACAAAAGCATAATGCCACCTCTTTAAACAATATGATTATTGAGTTATTATTAAGTTAGTATGTAGTATTAACAATGTAGAGCTTTTTTTTGCACTAGGATTTAATAAATAATAACAACCCACAGAAATGAAACAGCTGTAACTGGATTTATTATTCAGCTAGTGGTAAAATAGTTTATATGAAATTATAATGACTATAGTAATTTTAAATTTTTTGTTTTTTTAATGTTAATATGTTACATTAATACACTATACTAGTTCTTCCTTCAGGTTGTGGATAGAGCATCTGCAGTGGACAGATGTAGATTTAGACAGATGCAGAGTCAGGATGCCTTTGTCCCAATATGTGATCTTTTTAGCTTCCTCCTCCTGAGAGCACACTCACAACAGAATCAACCCACAACTTTGTTTGAGTTAAGAAATATCCGTATTTTGTGCAACATTGTCCACAATAATCACAATATGACTTTTTCTCCAAATTGTGCAGCTCTTTCTAAAATGTTTAAATTATTTGGATTTTCCATATTTTATTTTGTTTATTCAGCTAATTGTTTGATTTATTTTCTGTAAAATGCATCTTTCAATGCATTTTTCAAAGCGTTCTCACACTGCTTGCGATACAATTTTGGGGGAGAAATACTGATCCCTTATTAATTTATGATGGTTGGCCTAAAAGTGGTCAATGGCCAGTGTAATACATTGAGTCCGAAATATCCAATACCCACTGAATGAAATCAGTGAAATCAGTGAAAACTCCTCTCTGGTTTGCCAAAAAAACAAATTTTTAGAAAATACAAAACGAATTACCTCAGCATCCATAATGGTTTCAAATAACTGCCTTGAATGATGGATGGATTTGATCTGTATTAATCAATTATTTTCTTCCAGATGACAGCAATGGGAGAGAAAGTTACACCCTACAACCACAACTATGTCATGGCAAGACGGTCAGAGCTTCGGCAGACAGTATTACACTGACCTGGTGAGTGTGAAAACTACGGCACAGCACGAAGAGATTTGTATGCATGCTTACAACAACAGTGTCTGGATCAGGCTGTTCAGAGACGTTTTATGTGGTCTGATGGAAGCACTGGCTCTTTCAGAAACTGGGATGAAAGTAACCCTGATAATCTGGGAGGTAATCAGAACTGTGCGACGTTCAGATGGGTCCATCCAGTATCAGTAGAATGACAATGATTGTTATTTCTGCTTACCTTTTGTCTGTTACAATGGTGAGTTATTAATTTTATATATACTTAATATGTGTTTTAGCAGTAGGTGAATTGAGCAAATAATTTAGTAATAATGACACTGCTACAAAGGGGTGCGTGGTAGTAGGGCCAATAGAGGAATTTTCTTTGAACCCTTAAAAATCTTAGAATTAAGTTTCATCTGCAATTTTTGTTATTAAAAATTATACTATTAATTACTATTTTAAAATATATTACTATTTTTTTATCTAAAACATTGGTTTAGTCTTCTCCTTCAGTAGGATGTACAAATAGTTTATCTCCAAACACACTGACGCTGAGGACTTAAGGGGAATGTTGAAGCATCATGTCATTTCAAAATCAGGCTACCAAAAGAAAAAAGAAAGACAGGAGGAAGAAGAAGGTGCAGGAGTGCGGCTAGCTCGCTAATATTATAAATGTTAGGTTGCTGATAAATGAAGCATCATTACCTTCAGTTTCAGAAACAGCCACAGAGATTGGATCAGCCATAGGTCCATTATCACCATCTTTTCATGTTACTGACGATGTCAGACAACCTGAACCCATAAAGTGGTCATAGTCACTTTTACTATAGCGGGTTACATTACTGATGCAGACAACTAGTATTGACTCTGTATTAAGAACACTCTTAACAACATTTAAGAGTAATAGTAGTTTCTTATCCTCTGTTTTCAATTAAAAAACAGTGGCTGCCTTTTTTTGTATATATTTGGATTGTACCTTTATCTTTTGGTTTTATTTGACCATGAAATGCTGTAATACAGTAATCCTTTCTCACTGTAGGGGCCAGATTCAGATGGCTTTCCACCTTTGTTTTATGCCTGGGTTACAATTACAACCTAAACAATTTTCAAAATTTTCTCTTTTAGATTTA